GGCAGCTACCTGCAGCTAGCTGGCAGCTACCTCCAGCTAGCTGGCAGCTAGCCAGCTAGCTGCCCTCATGTATTCGTGAGACCCGGCAGCGCCGTCGCTAGCTGCCTGGGCGTAGCTGCCTGCAGCTAGTTGTGTGGCTAGTTGTGCGGCTAGCTGCGCGGCTAGCTGTGCAACTAGCTGTGCGTCTAGCTGCGCGGCTAGCCGTTTTGCTAGCTACGTGGCTAGCTGCGTGGCTAGCTGCACGGCTAGCTCTCTGGCTAGTTGTGCAGCTATATGCGTGGCTAGCTGTGCAACTAGCTGCGCGGCTAGCTGCGTGGCTAGCTGTGTAGCTAGCTATGTGGCTAGCTGCGTGGCTAGCTGCGGGACCCTCACCCTAGGCCCTAGGGTTTGTGCTGCTGCTGCTGCTTGGCGCCTCGCATGCAGCGCAGACTCCAAGTTGAAAATGTAAGACATGGGGCGGTCCGAAGCCTCGTACTCCTGAAGGCAGCGCAAACCCTAGGCCCTAAACCCTAAACCCTAAACCCTAGGGCTCAGGCGCGTCATTTCGCAAGGAAGTCAAACCAATAGAAACACAAAGAGACAAACAGACACAATGAGACTGTGCGGGGCCCCCCAAAGTTGCTACTGGTGCACCCGGCCCTACAAAGTCCAGACAACAAGCTGCTGCTGCTGCTGCTGCTGCTGCCGTTACTGTTGCTGCTGCTTCTTTTGGTGCGGCGCTACATTCAATTTTAGGAGCAGCAGCAGCAGCAGCAACAGCATCAGAAGTCCGTCGCTGCCACCGTCCCTGCTGCCACCAACAGCACCAGCAGCAACAGCACGAACAGCAGCAGCAACAGCAGCAGCAGCAAAAGCCCGCCACCTCCGCCATCCGCAGCGTGAGACACAGCAGCAGCAGCAGCAGCAGCAGCGCACTTGGTGCACAGGCCCTCGGACTTGGAGTGTACATCCACCCCAGGTGAAGATGGCCAGCCGAGCAGCAGGAGGAAGAGTGACTTCTATATCTGGCAGCAGCTCGAGTCCGAATATTTCTGCTGTTCCTGCTGCTGCTACTGCTGCTGCTGCGCTTGTTGCGGCTCCCGCTGCTCCTGCTGCAGGTCCTGCTGCAGAAGCTGCGCCGCCGCCTGCTGCTGCTGCTGCTCCTGCACCCACGCGAAGCCCGCGGGCCCCAGGCCGCTCCGAAGGCCCAGGCCCCAGCAGCTGCAGCAGCAGCAAGCACAGCAGCAGCAACCGCAGCAGCAGCAGAATGCGGCAGCAGCAGCGTGTGTTGCACAGAGCACCGCAGCAGCATAATGCAGCAGCAGCAGCATCTGTTGCACAGGGCACCACAACAGCGGAACCCAGCAACAGCTTCTGCAGCAGCAGTACAAGCAGCAGTTGCTGCTGCAACAGTAGCAGCAGCAGCCGAGCGCAGCAGCAGCCGAGTGTAGCCGCAGAGGGCGAAAGCAGCAGCAAACGCAGCAAGAGCTGCAGCAGCAGCTGCTGCAGACAAGCATGCGGCAAGCCAGAACTCACCTTGACAGCAACAACCTGTGTCTCATCTGTTGCTGCTGCTGCTGCTGCCTCTTGGGCCTCTTGAGTGTCCAGCAGCAGCACCCTCAGCTCTCTCATTGGCTTCAAATTTATAATCCGCACAGCGCGGCGGCTGTTGGGGTTTTCAACCAGCCCAGGGGCCCCCAGGGAAGCCCCGAGGGGCGCCCCCAGGGGGGCCCCCAAGGGGGCCCCCAATGGGGCCCCTAGGGGGGCCCCCAGGGGGGCCCCCACGGTAGCCCCCATAGACGACGCCATTGACGCCCCCAAAGTAGAACCCATGGGGGGCCCCAAGGGGGTCCCCAAAGGGGCCCCCATGGGGGCCCCTGATGCTGCAGTTGGGGCCGACGCCGAAGTCGGCGGCAGCCACATGTAGGGGGCCTCTCCCGAATAAGAGGCTCGGGGGTGGGGCCCTGCTGCTGCTGCTGCTGCTGTTTGCCAGCGCTGCTGCTGCTGCATCATTGCTGCTGCGGGGGCCCCAGAAGCTCAGAGAGAAACCTAGGGGGCCCCAGCGCTCCCCGTGGCTTGTTCAGGTGTACGCGCACCTCGGCAGAGGCCCCTGGGGGCCCCCAGTGGCCCTTGGGCCCTCTCAGGCGTCCCTTTTTTGAATCTGTAATCAAATGAACAATTAAAAATACATATTTGATGTTCGCGGGAGCATAAATGCTGGAGTTTCAGACGGTCCGAGCCCTGCAAGTCGTCTGTAGGCGCCTGGGAGATGCAGCGGGGGCCACCCCAAGGAAATCTTAGCTTATAAACATTATCTTGTGTTTTCTAATGAGTTTTTAGACAAAAAATCGGTTTTCGGCACAGGTAGCTTCATACAGAAAGCGAAGCGGCTTGGGGCCCCCAGGCGGTGTTGGGGGGCCCCCCTTTAGGCCCCATGGGGCCCAGGGGGGCCCCTCGGGGCCCTTGGGACTGCTGTAAGTAGCCTGGCTCGCAAGTTTATGCTAAGGAGATAAGCCATTTGATTTATTTTTTAGGTTTTTAATTCAGTTAACTGAAAAGAAAGAGAATAAGCTTCCTAAGGGGCCCGTGGGGCGCTCTAATTGGGGTCCCCCGGGGCCTCGGAGGCCCCCAAAGCGGTGGGGGCCCTAACAAGGGCCAATACTTGGGGGCCCCTAAGAGGGTCTTGTGCAGCTAGCTGCTGCAATTGCTGCTGTGGGGGCTAGGTGGCCTGTGGATGAATTTGTTTGTCCACAAATACAAAAATATAAATTTAATATTATTGTTAAACATAAATTATCTAATTCTTCCACAAATAGTATATAGTAAGTGCAGTGAGTAGCCTGCTTGAGAGCCTTTACGCACAAATAAAGGACTCAGCTTTATTTTTGAAAAAGACACAACACCATTTGGGCCATCAGCCCCTTTTGTGCACAAATTCACTTGCATGCGCATGCGCCTTCTGATGCATGCATGCATTTCTTTATCATCTTGCATGACACTTTAATAATGTGGAAAGTCTCTAGATTTTCCCCAAGAATGATCATTTTTAGGATTATTTATATACTCAGCTAGCCGGGAAATGAACTCCCATCCCCACCAACTCTGGCTGCCCCCAGCCGCTGCAGCAAACGCTCTATTTGCTGCTGCTCTATTCGCTGCTGCTGTATTTGCTGGTGCTCCGTTTGCTGCTGCTCTACTTGCTGCAGCGGCGGCAAACAGGCCCCAAAGGCAGTTTATTGTCTCCTTGACTCTTCACAGGGGCCCCCAAGAGCAGCACTTGACAAATGGGTCTGCACCTACAGCCAACGCCAAGACCTTCTTGGGGCCCTAGGGGCCCCCAAAGGGG